ACTCGCTCCCCACTCTCCCCACTCTCCCCTCACTGCATCATCAATCACTTTCCACTCGCTCCCCACTATCCCCACTCTCCCCACACTCTTCCCACTCTCTCCTCACTCTCTCCACACTCTATCCCCACTCTCTCCACTCTCTCCACTCGCTCCCCACTCTCCCCACTCTCACCTCACTGCATCCTCAATCACTTTCCACTCGCTCCCCACTATCCCCAATTTCCCCATCCCCTCCTCACTTTCTCTTCACTCTCTCTCCACTCTCTCCCCACAGTCTCCCCACTCTGTCTCCACTCTCTTCATTCACTCCACACTCTCTCACCCCTCTCCCCACTCTCTTGCCACTATCTTCCCACCCTCTTCACTATCTCCCCACTCCCTCCCCATTTTCCCCTTAACCTCTCCACACCCTCTTCCCACTCTCTTCCCACTCTCTTAAAACTCTCCCTACTGTCTCGCAACTCCTTCGTCACTGTCTCCCCGCTTGTTTCCCACTGTTCCCACTCTCTCCCCACTCTCTCCTCTCCCTCCCCACTCTCTCTTCAATCTTTCCCCTCTCTCTTGCCACTCTCTTGCCATTCTTTCCCCAGTCTCTCCCCACTCCTTCTCAACAATCTTCCCAGTGTCCTCCAACTCTCTCCTCAGTCTGCCCACTCGCTTCAAACGATCCCCAAACTCTCTCTACTCTCCCCCCACTCTCCCCACTCTCTCCACACTCTCTTCCCACTCTCTCCAAACTCTCCCCACTCTTTCCCCGCTCTCCCCACATTATACCTACTCTCTCCCCACTCCGTCCTCAATGTCTCCCTACTCTTTTTCTACTGTACCCACTCTCTCCAAATCCTCTCCTCTCTCCCCCCAATCTCCCTACTCCCTCTCTACTTTCTCCGCACTCTCTACTTTCTCTCCCCACTCTCCCCAATCTCTCCTCCCTCTTTCCCCACTCTACAAACACCATCCCCACATTCTCCTCACCATCTTCCCACTCTCTCCCCACTCTCTCCACTCTACCCACTCTCTCCCCCATCTCTCCCCACGCTCTTCCCACTCACTCCCCACACTCTTCCCACACTCTCTCAGCTGTCCCCACTCTCTCCCAACTCTCTCCTCATGCTATCAAGAATCTCTCCCCCCACTGCCCACTCTCTCCCCACTCTCTACCCACTCTCTTCTCAATCTCTCCACACTCCCTCCCCACTCTCCCAACTCTCTCAAATCTCTACCCACTCTCCCAACACTCTGCCCACTCTCTCCTCACTGTCCTCCCACTGACCCAACTCTCTCTCCACTCTCTCTCCACTCTATCCCCTCTCTACCCACTTATTTCTTAATAGCTCCACACTCTGCCCACTCTCTTCCACTCTCCCCACTCTCTCCAAACATCCCCCACTATCTCTACTCTCCCCTATCTCTCCACACTCCCACAGTATCCCTCCTCTCTCCCACACTATCTATCAACTCGGCCACACTATCTCTACCACACAATCTCTACACAATCTCTCCACTATCTCTCCACTATCTCTCCACTTTCCCACACTATCTCTCCACTCTGTCACACTATCTCCCACATTATCTCTCCACTATCTCTCCATTCTCCCGCACTATCTCTCCACTCAGTGACACTATCTCCCACACGATCTCTCCACTATCTCCCCACACTCCCACAATATCTCTCCACCCTCCCACGCTTTCTCTCCACTCTGCCAAACTATCTCTGCCACACTATATCCCCACTATCAATCCACTCTCCCATACTATCTGTCCTCTATCTCTCCACTCTCCCACACTATCTCTCCACTCTATCACAATATCTCCCACACTATCTCTCCGCTATCTTTCCACTCTCCCACACTATCTCTCCACTCTCCCACACTATCTCTCAACTCAGCCACACTATCTCTACCACACTATCTCTCCACAATCTCTCCACTGTCTCTCCACTACCGCTCCACTCTCCCACACTATCTCTCCACAATCTCTCCACTCTCCCACACAATCCCTTTACTCTGTCACACTAGCTCCTACACTATCTCTCCACTATCTCTTCACACTCCCACACTATCTCTCCACTATTTCTACACTCTCCCACACTATCTCTCCAGCCTGTCACACTATCTCCCACACACTCTCTCCACTATCTCTCCACTTTCCCATGCTCTCTCTCCACTCTGTCACACTATCTCCGACACAACCTCTCCACTATCTCTCCACTCTCCCAAACTTTCTCTCCACTACCTCTCCACGCTCCCACACTATATCTCCACTCTATCACACTATTTCCCACAACATCGTTCGACCATCTCTCCACACTCCCACACTATCTCTCAACTCTCCCACACTATCTCTCCTCTCTGCCACACTATTCCCACCACACTATCTCTCCACTATCTCTCCACTCTCCCACACTATATCTTCACTCTGTCACACAATCTCCCACACTATCTCTACACTATCTCTCCACTCTCCCCCACAATCTCTCCACTCTGTCACACTATCTCCCACACTATCTCTCCACTAGCTCTTCACACTCCCACACTATCTCTCCACTCTGTAACTCTATGTCCCATACTATCTCTCCACTATCTCTCCACTCTCCCAGACTATCCCTCCTCTATCTCTCCACTCTCCCACACTATCTCTCCACTCTGTCACACTATCTCCCATACTATCTCTCCACTATCTCTCCACACTCCCACACTATCTCTCCACTCTCCCACACTATCTTCCCACTCTGCCACACAATCTCTGCCACACTATCTCTGCCACACTATCTCTCCACTATCTCTCCACTCTCCCACACCATCTCTCCACTACCTTTCCACTCTTCCACACTATCTCTCCACAATCTCTCAACTCTCCCACACTATCTCTTTACTCTGTCACACTATCTCGCACACTATCTCTCCACTATCTCTTCACATTCCCACACTATCTCTCCACTATCTCTCCCATCTGTCAAACTATCTCCCACACTATCTCTCCACTATCTCTCCACACTCCCACACTATATCTCCACTATCCCACACTATCTCTCCACTCTGCTACACTATGTCTGCCACACTATCTCGCCACTATCTTTCCACTATCTCTTCACAATCTCTCCAATCTCCCACACAATCTCTCCACAATCTCTCCACTCGCCCACACTATCTCTCCACTCTGTCACACTATCTCCCACACTATCTCTCCACTAATTCTACACTCTCCCACACAATCTCTCCACTCTATCACACTATCTATCACACGATCTCTCCACTATCTCTCCACTCTCCCACACTACCTCTCCACTCAGTCACAATATCTCCCACACTATCTCTCCACTATCTCCCCACTCTCCCACACTATCTCTCCATTACCTCTCCACTCTGTCACACTATCTCCCACACAACCTCTCCACTATCTCTCCACTCTCCCACACTATCTCTCCACTCTGTCACACCATCTCCCACACTATCTCTGCACTCTGCTACACCATGTGCCACACTATCTCTCCACGATCTCTCCACTCTCCCACTTTTTCTCTCCACTATCTCTCCACACCCTCGCACTATCTCTCAACTCTCCCACACGATCTCTCCACGCTGCCATACTATCTCTGCCATAGCATCCTTCTACAATCTCTCCACTATCTTTCCACTATCTCTCCACTCTCCCACACTATCTCTCCACAATCTCACCACACTCTCCCACTATCTCTCCACTCTCCCACAAAATCTTCCCACTGTGCCACTCTATCTCTGCCAAACTATCCTACCACCATCTCTCCTGATCCCCACACTATCTCCCACACTATCTCTCCACTATTTCTCTACTCTCCCACACTATCTCTCCACTCTGTCACACTATCTTCCTCACTATCTCTCCATGATCTCTCCACTCTCCCACACTATCTCTCCACTAAGTCACACAATCTCCCACACTATCTCTCCACTATCTCTCCATGCTCCCAAACAATCTCTCCACTTTGTCACACTATCTCCCACACTATCTCTCCACTATCTCTCTACACTCCCATACTATCTCTCCACTCTGTCACACTATCTCCCACACGATCTCTCTACTATCTCTCCACACTCTCCCACTATCTCTCTACTTTCCCACACAATCTCTCCATTCTGCCACACTATCTCTGGCAAACTATCCTACAACTATCTCTCCACTATCTCTCCAGACTCCCACACTATCTCTCCACTATTTCACCACTCTCCCACACTGTCTCTCCACTCTGTCACACTATCTCCCACACTATCTCTCCACTATTTCTCTACTCTCACATACTATCTCTCCACTTTGTCACACTATCTCCCTCACTATCTCTCCACGATCTCTCCACTCTCCCACACTATCTCTCCACTAAGTCACACAATCTCCCACACTAACTCTCCACTATCTCTCTATGCTCCCACACAATCTCTCCACTTTGTCACACTATCTTCCACACAATCTCTCCACTATCTCTTCACTCTCCCACAGTATCTCCCATACTATCTCTCTACTATCTCTCCACTCTCCCACACTATCTCTCCACTCAGTCACACTATCTACTACACTATCTCTCCACTATCTATCCACACTCCCTCACTATCTCTTAACTCTCCCACACTATCTCTCCACTCTGCCACACTATTCCTGCCACACTATCTCTCCACTATCTCTCCACTATCTCTCCCCTCTCTCTCCACTCTCTCACACTATCTCTCCATTATCTCTCAACTCTCCCACACTATCTCTACACTGTGTCAGACTATCTCTCACACTATCTCTCCACTATATCTCCACTCTCCCACACTATCTCTCCACTCTGTCACACTATCTCCCTCACTATCTCTCCACGATCTCTCCACTCTCCCACACTATCTCTCCACTCAGTCACACAATCTTCCACACTCTCTCTCCACTATCTCTCCATGCTCCCACACAATCTCTCCACTTTGTCACACTATCTCCTACATTATCTCTCCACTATCTCTCCACTCTCCCACACTATCTCTCCACTTTGTCACACTATTTCCCACACGATCTCTCCACTATCTCTCCACTATCTCTCCACTCTCCCATGCTTTCTCTCGACTCTGCCACACTATCTCTGCCACACTATCTATCCAATATCTCTCCACAATCCCTCTACTATGAATCCACTCTCCCATACTATTTGTCCCCTATCTCTCCACTCTCCCACATGATCTTTCCACTCTGTCACAATATCTCTCACACGATCTCTCCACTATCTCTATACTCTCCCACACTATCTCTCCACTCCACCACACTATCTCTGCCAAACTACCCTACCACTATCTCTCCACTATGTCTCCAATCTCCTACTCTATCTCTCCACTCTAGTTCACTATCTCCCTCACTATCTCTCCAAGATCTCTCCACTCTCCTACACAATCTTTCAACTCTGTCACACTATCTCCCATACTATCACTCCACTATTTCTCCTCTCTCCCACACCATCTCTCCACTCTCTCACACTATCTCTCTCACTATCTCTCCACGATCTCTCCACTCTCCCAAACTATCTTCCCACTCTGTCACACTATCTTCCATACGATCTCTGCACTAACTCTCCATACTCCCACACAATCTCTCCATTTTGTCACACTATCTCCCACACTATCTCTCCACTATCTCTCCACTCTCCCACACTATCTCTCCACTCTGCCAAACTATCTTTCCACTCTCCCACACTATCTCTCCACTCTCCCACACTATCTCTCCACTCTCCGACACTATCTCTCCACTCTGTCACACAATCTCTCCACTCTCCTACACTATCTCTCCACTCTCCCACACTATCTCTCCACTCTTCAACACTATCTCTCGACTCTCCCACACTATTTCTCCACTCTCCCACACTCTCTCTCCACTCTCCCACACTATCACTCGACTCTCCCACACTCTCTCTCCACTCTACCACACTATCTCTCCACTCTCCAACACCATCTCTCGACTCTCCCACACTATCTCTCCACTCTGCCACATTGTCTTTCCACTCTGTCACACTTTCTCTCCACATTCACACACAATCTCTCCACTCTCCCATACTCTCTCTCCACTATCTCTCCACTCTCCCACACTATTTCTCCAGTCTCTCCACTATCTCTCTACTGTCCCACACCATCTCTCCACTCTCCCACAATATCTCTCCACTCTCCCATACTATCTCTCGACTCTCCTACACTATCTCTCCACTCTCCCATACTATCTCTCCACTCTCATCCACTATCTCTCCACTCTCTCCACTATCCCTCTACTGCCCCATACTATCTCTCCACTCCCCTACACTATCTCTTTACTCTCCCACACTATCTCTCCACTCTCTCACACTATCTCTCCACTCTCTCCACTATCTCTCCACTCGCTCCATTATCTCTCCACTCTCACACACTAACTCTCCATTCTCTGCACTATCTCTCTACTGTCCCACAATATCTCTCCACTCTCCCACACTATCTCTCCACACTCTCCACTATCTCTCCACTCTTCCTAACTATCTGTCCACTCTCCCACACTATCTCTCCACTCTCCCACACTATCTGTCCACTCGCCAACACTATCTCTCCACTCTCCAACACTGTCTCTCCACTCTCCCACACTATCTCTCCACTCTGCCACACTACCCTCTACTCTCCTACAATATCTCTCCAATCTCCCACACTATCTCTCCACTCTTTCCACTATCTCTCCACTCTCCGTCACTATCTCTCCACTCTCCCACACTATCTCTCCACTCTCCCACAATCTCTCTCCACTCTCCCACATTAGCTCTCCACTCTCCCACACCATCTCTCGACTCTCCCACACTATCTCTCCACTCTCCGACACTATCTCTCCACTCTCCCATACTCTCTCTCCACTCTCCCACATTAGCTCTCCACTCTCCCACACCATCTCTCGACTCTCCCACACCATCTCTCCACATTCCCACACTATCTCTCCACTCTCCCACTCTATCTCTCCACTCTCCCAACCTACCTCTCCAGTCTCCAACACTATCTCTCAACCCTCACACACAATCTCTCCACTCTCTCCACTATCTCTCCACTGTCCCACACTATCTCTCCACACTCCCACACTATCTCTCCACTCTCCCACACTATCTCTCCACTATCTCTCCACTCTGTCACACTATCTCTCCACTCTGTCACACTATCTCTCCACTCTAAACACTATCACTCCACTCTCCCACACTAACTCTCCACTCTCCCACACAATCTCTCCACTATCTCTCCACTCTGTCACACTATCTCTCCACTCTCCCACACTATCTCTCCACACTCCCACACTATCTCACCACACTCCCACAGTATCTCTCCACTCTCCTACACTATCTCTCCACTATCTCTCCACTCTCTCCACTATCTCTCCACTCTCTCCACTATCTCTCTACTCCCCCACAGTATTTCTACACTCTGCCACAATCTCTCTCCACACTCTCCACTATCTCTCCACTGTCCCACACTATCTCTCCACACTCCCACACTATCTCTTTAGTCTCCCACACTATCTCTTCACTCTCCCACACTATCTCTCCACTTTGGCACACTATCTCTCCACTCTTCCACACGATCTCTCCACTCTCCCACACTATCTCTCCACTCTCCCACACTATCTCTCCACTCTCCCACACTAACTCTCCACTCTCACACACTAACTCTCCACTCTCCCACACTATCTCTCCACTCTCTCCACTATCTCTCCTCTCCTTGCACTCTCTTTCCACTCTCCCATAGTATCTCTCCACTCTCCTACACTCTCTCTCCACTCTCCCATACTATCTCTCCACTCTCACACACTATATCTCCACGATCTCTCTACTGTCCCACACGATCTCTCCACTCACCCACACTATCTCTCCACTCTCCACACTATCTCTCCACTCTCCCACACTATCTCTCCACTCTCTCCACTATCTCTCCACTCTCTCCACTTTCTCTGCACTCTACCACACCATCTCTCCACTCTCTCTCCACTCTCTCTCCACGCTCCCATAGTATCTCTCCACTCTCCTACACTATCTCTCCACTCTCCCGTACTATCTATCCACTCTCACACACTATCTCTCCACTCTCTCCATTATCTCTCTACTGTCCCACACTATCTCTCCACTCCCCCACACTATCTCTGAACTCTCCACACTATCTCTCCACTCTCCCACACTATCTCTCCACACTCCCACACCTTTTCTCGACTCTCCCACACCATCTCTCCACTATCTCTCCACTCTGCCACACTATCCCTCCACTCTCCCACACTATCTCTCCACACTCCTGATGGAAATCGTGCAAATCTGGAGAGAACTAATTAGAGATTAAGTCTGACGACCTCAACGGATCATTGCGTGCTGCTCAGGTAATTTCTAGAAATAAGCTTATACGCGTTGGAAAGGTCTTAATCTCTACTTTCCAGAATGGTAAAGCACGTTCATAACCAAGATCTGAGCCGCCGATTATGACGAAATCAGTGTGAGGGGGTATTCTTGTAATTTGGCTAGGCAGCCATGAATCACCTAGGAAAAAACGAGAAGGGAAGCAGTTCGATCTGGAAAAGTGGCAGTATGTGATTGTCAAACACCACCAACCCTTGCCCTAGACCAAACCCCAAAACTCTCAAGTGCCATGACTGCAACATCAAAGATGTTGTAGTGGATTTGAGGTAGTATGGGTTGGAAAGGTAACGAGTTCAAACCTTGCCAACCAACCCAAGTCCTTTTGCCCAAAACCCAATAGCCCACAACCAGCTAGAGCAAACTACACCACAGAATACTACACATTTATCACTCCCCCTTGCTCGTGCTGGGTGTGGCTCAACACCATAGGGCAAAAGACTTCACACCACTCCCCCTTGCTCATGGGTTGGGGCCACCCAGAGCATGGAGTCCGCCAAGGAGAGGAGCACCAAGACGCCGGCATCTGCTGCGGGAACCCTGTCATCATGGGGCTGCATCCCGAGCAAGGTCATGCACACACCATGGCGCTCAAATGGAAGAGACTTGGTAAGGATATCAGCAGCCTGACGGTTGGTGGGGCACCACTGCAAAATCACCTCTCCCGCAGCCACCATCTCCCGAATGAAATGCCACCGTAACTGCATGTGTTTGGTGCGGCCATGCAAGCATGCATTCTGTGCAAGGGCAATGGCAGACTGATTATCCACAAACACAGGCACACCACCAGCATGAGCATGGCCAAACTCCCCAAACAAACGCCTCAGCCACACACCCTCCTGAATGCACTGACACAGACTTATGTACTCACTCTCAGTGGTAGAGAGTGCCACCACGGGCTGCCTCTTGCTCTGCCAAGAGATAGCTGCCCCATTCAGGCAGAACACATACCCACTGTGGCTCTTGCGACTTGCGGAATCTCCAGCATAGTCGGCATCACTGAAGCCAACCAGCTGGACCTGATATTGGGGCTGTGTTTGGAAGAAGATACCTGACTTGACACCACCTTTCAGGTACCTCAGCACTCTCTTAGCGGCCTGCAAGTGGAACATTTTAGGACAAGAGGCGACCTTAGATAGCTGTGAGACTGCGAATGCAATCTGTGGCTGTGTGGTAGTACAAGCATACATGAGGGATCCCACAATGCTTTGGTAGAGCTTGACCAGCTCATCTCGCAGCAAAGGTTCATCCTCATAGGCATGCACATCAAAGCCTGTCAGGAGAGGAGTACGCACGGGGTTGGCCTCTGAAAGACCAAAGGACTGAAGCATGTTAAGAATGTACCTCTCTTGATGAATCAAGATACCACTCTCATCATGCTCAATTTGCATTCCCAAGTAGTACTTCACCTCCCCCAAGTCCTTCATGCGAAAACGCGAGGACAAGAAGTCTTTCACTCGATCTAACAAAACTTTACTAGAGCATAGGAGCAAAAGGTCATCCACATAGAGAAATAAGGAGATCCTCTCCTCATCTCGCACAAAGTGGTACAAGGCAGGGTCACACTCAGATCTCTCAAACCCAAAATCCATGAGAGCCTCATCAAATTTCAGGTACCACTGTCGTGGGGCTTGCTTCAGCCCATAAATGGACCTTTTGAGGCGACACACTCGGTTAGACCCATCATCAAAACCAGGAGGCTGCCGCATGTAAAGCTCTTCTTCCAAATCCCCATGGAGGAAGGCTGTCTTGACGTCCATATGATGGATATCAAGCTTCAAAGCAGCCGAAATTCCAAGCATACCTCTCAAGGTCGCATGCTTCCCAACTGGAGAGTACACTTCTTCATAGTGTACTCCCAATTTCTGCATGTTTCCCATCACTACCAATCTGGACTTAGGCCTCTCAACGGTACCATCAGGGTTATGCTTGTATTTCCAAACCCATTGACACCTGAGGACCTCCAAACCAGGTGGTACCACTGCTGGATCAACCAGCTCAAATGATCCATTTACCTTGTGAGACTCAAGCTCCTCATGCATGGACTCAACCCATTCTGGACGGTTCAGCGCCTCGTGGACTGACCTAGGCTCATGCACCTGACCCATTAGACACACATCAAGAGCATACTCATGCCCATGCATGTCCACAAGCATGCAATCATCCAAATCAGACACAAGATGATCATGCATGCGTGCAATGTGCCCCGGGGTAAACCTTTCAGGTGGCTGGGAAATTCGAGCACTGCGTCGCAGAGGTGTTGCCTCTCCTTCTTCCAGCCTCTGCAGCTTCTCCTCCCAAGTCACCCTCTTCATTGGAGTCCTCGGAGTCTTGGACAGCTGCTGGTCCAACAACTCCTGCCAACTGCTTCTCGATGGAGTTGAAGGCACATGCTGCTCCGGCTGATCATCATGCGCATCGGCCTGCGTGGCTGGCTGAGGGGTAGAATCTGTCTCTCGGGACTCCTCATGGTTAGAATCAGCTGGTTCTGGCTCCTCCTGCTGCTCCTCCCCTTCATCTCCAGGGTCCTCCCATGCCCCCTCAAAGATAGAGGCCATATGAGGGTCTTGAATGGAAGTCCCACTATGGCTTGCACCACACTCCTTCCACCCCTTATAATTCAGCCCCTCATGGAAAATCACATCACGGCTCTCCATCACACGCTGGTCAGCTACACTCCATAGCACCCAAGCCTTGCTCCTCTCAGAAACCCCAAGGAAAATCCCCCACTGTGCCTTAGGATCTAGCTTCCTCCTTTGCTGGTCAGGAACCTTATACTGAGCCATGCACCCCCACACTCGTGCCATGGAAACATTCGGCACCTTCCCTGTCCATAAGGAGTATGGGCTCTTGCCTCCAAGCCCCTTGCTGCCCATCCTGTTCTTCACCCAGTTGGCATACTGCACTGCTGCCCCCCACCAAGTGTTATCAAGCTCGGCATGGGCAAGGATGGCCCGAGCCAAATCGGTCAAGGTCCTGTTAAGCCGCTCCGCTGCCCCATTTTGCTGCGGCGTGTAAGGTACAGAGAGCTGGTGGGAAATACCCTTTTCTTCCAAGAAGATTTGAAGTTCTTTCCCAAGGTACTCTCCACCCCGATCTGACCTTAACACCTTTACCTTGGCCCCTGATTCCCTCTCCACATAGCGTATCCACCGCTTAAACACCTTTGCCACCTCATCCTTGGTCTTCACCAAGATGACCCAGCTAAGTCGACTGAAATCATCAAGAAAGGTGACAAAGTACCTGCTGCCCCTTTCCCGGTCAGGAGTTTGCATCGGTCCACACACATCCGTGTGCACAAGCTCAAGGGGAGTCGAGGCATGATCAGAGGAGATAGGGAATGAGGTTCTAGGCAGATTTCCAGATGTGCAGTCAGGATATTTTCTCTGCTGCCCAGCTCCTTCCTTGACCTCCACCCCCTTCAGCTCCCCCTTCTTCACACACTCCAGTAGTTGCTGCTTCCCCGCGTGCCCCATGCAAAGGTGTAGCAACTCAGGTGACACCGTTTCCACCTGCCTCCAGCGAGTGCTACAAGCGGCTTCCTCAGAAAAAACCATATGTGCCTTGTAACAATTAGGCACACAAGCTGGAACAAGGTATAAACCCTTGTCCAGCTTTGCCTCCATCACCACAGCTTCACCCTTTCTAACAGTGCACCCTCCCTCAGTGAAAGTGCAGATGTATCCCTGTTTAGCCAGCTGCGAGCATGAAAGGAGGTTTGCAGCCAAACCAGGGACGTGAAGGACCCCCTTCACACCCACTAGCTCCCCCTCCTTCCCCTTAATGGTGATCGTGCCGATGCCAATTGCCTGCAGCAAATCTCCGCTCCCAACAATCACTCTCCTAGAGTTTGGTGGGAGAGGATGGTAGGAGGTGAAGAGATCACGGCGAGGAAGCATCCCAGATGTTGCTCCAGAGTCTAGAACCAGGAAGTTGGGATCAGCCAATGCACGACCAGCGAGAGATGCATCCTGCCCTAGCATGAGAAACGAGAAACCATCATCGGAGGAGTCGTCTTGGCCCTTCCCCTTCTCATCCCTAGCAGCTGCCGCCGTTGCTCCCTTGCTGCCCTTCTTATTCCAGAGCCCCTTCTTCATCCTTTTCTCCACCCAATCAGGTTTGGTCACTGGTGGGGCCTCTCCAAAGTAGCCGTGAGGCTTCCATCCCTCAGGCCTACTCCAGCAACTCTTCCAAGAGTGTTTTTTGTTGCATCCGGGCACAAGGCATTTGTCCAACTCTTTCTTCTTCCCCCCACCTCCTTGCTGTTGATAGCCTTTCCTGAAGGAAGCTTTATCTGCTGCACCCATGCCTCCTTCTAGGCCTCTTCCAGCATCAACCTTGCGAGCCTCATCAGAAATTAGAACCTCCCAAATCCACACCTTGGTCCATTTCTGTTGCTCGAGGTGAAGGTACTGTAGTAATGCCTCATTAACCGCTTGATCCAACCCTTGGAGTGCAGTATAGATGATCTCCTTCTCATCTACCGTGTAATCCAGCTCCTCCAAAGCCCTCACATTCTCATCCACCCTCTGGAGATACTGAACCATGGTCTACCCCTCCCCATAGTTCCGCTCCATGGTGTAAAACCGCTTCCGCCAAGTAAGCACGCTTAGAAGCCCTTTCTGCAAGTGCCTATCTTGCACTCTTTTCCAAGCTGCAGCTGCTGCACCTTCCTTCCCCTTCAGGTCAATCAGCATCTTAAGAAGCTCAAGTTGCCCCTCCAAAGCCCAACACAGGTACTGAAATGCCTGGCGATCCTTCCGATCCCATGCTTCTTGAGCTTTGAGCAACTCCTCGCGACTTGGTTGCGACCTTCCGGTTCGAGTTGCAGCGGTTCCTCCTTCATTCCCCCCACTCAACGATGCTCCCCCAGCCCCGGATCCCACTTGGCTGGTTGCTCCAGTAGACGCCTCCCCAGAGTCAGCTCGTGGTCGCTTCTCCGATCCATCCAACACACTTTCTAGGTCCTTAATACCTAGCCATAGTGTGAACTGGAACCTCCATAGCGAAAAGTCCGAGCCGGTAAACCTAGGAGGGCCATCCAACTTTTGGGCCATGTCAAACCCTAGATCTGGAGCACTTCAAGCCTCTCTAGATCTCTTCCAATGGAGGAAAGAACGTCCTCTAACCGTGGCTCTGATACCACTGATGGAAATCGTGCAAATCTGGAGAGAACTAATTAGAGATTAAGTCTGACGACCTCAACGGATCATTGCGTGCTGCTCAAGTAACATCTAGAAATGAGCTTATACGCGTTGGAAAGGTCTTAATCTCTACTTTCCAGAATGGTAAAGCACGTTCATAACCAAGATCTGAGCCGCCGATTATGACGAAATCAGTGTGAGGGGGTATTCTGGCAATTTGGCTAGGCAGCCATCAATCACCTAGTAAAAACGAGAAGGGAAGCAGTTCGATCTGGAAAAGTTGCAGTATGTGATTGTCAAACACCACCAACCCTTGCCCTAGACCAAACCCCAACACTCTCAAGTGCCATGACTGCAACATCAAAGATGTTGTAGTGGATTTGAGGTTGTATGGGTTGGAAAGGTAACGAGTTCAAACCTTGCCAACCAACCCAAGTCCTCTTGCCCAAAACCCAATAGCCCACAACCAGCTAGAGCAAACTACACCACAGAATACTACACATTTATCAACTCCCACACCTTCTCTCCACTCTCCCACACCATCTCTCCACTATCTCTCCACTCTGTCACACTATCTCTCCACTCCTCCACACTATCTCACCACTCTCCCACTGTATCTTTCCACTCTGACACACTATCTCTCCACTATCTCTCCATTCTGTCACACTATCTCTCCACCCTCCCACACTATCTCTCCACTACATCTCCACTCTGTCACACTATCTTACCACTCCCCCACACTATCTCACCACTCTCCCACACTATCTCCCCGTATCTCTCCACTCTGCTACACTATCTCTTTGCTATCTCTCCACTGTCTCTCCACTCTCCCACACTATCTCTCCACTCTCCCACACTATCTCTCCACACTCCCACACTATCTCTCCACTCTCCCACACAATCTCTCCAATATCTCTCCACTGTCTCTCCACTGTCTCTCGACTCTTACACACTATCTCTCCACCCTCTCCACTATCTCTCCACTGTCCCACACTATCTCTCCACACTCTTGCACTATCTCTCTACTCTCCCACACAATCTCTCCACACTACCACACTATCTCTCCACTCTCCCGCACTATCTCTCCACTCTCACACATAATCTCTCCACTCACTCTCAACTCTGCCACACTATCTCTCCACTATCGCTCCACTCTCCCACACTATCTCTCCACTCTCCCACACTTTATCTCCTCTCTCCCACTCTATCTCTCCACTATCTCTCCACTCTGTCACACTTTCTCACAACTCTCCCACACAATCTCTCCAATTTGTCACACAATCTTTCCACTCCCCCACACTATCACTCCAGTCTCCCACACTATCTCTTCACTCTCCCACACTATCTCTCCACTCTTCCACACTATCTCTTCACTCTCCCACACTATCTCTCCACACTCCCACACTATCTCTCCACTCTCCCACCCTATTTCTCCACAATCTCTCCACTCAGTCACACTATCTCTCCACTCCCCCACAGTATCTCACCACTCTCCTACACTATCTCTCCACTATCTCTCCACTCTTCTACACCAACTCTCCGCTATCTCTCCACTATCTCTCCACTCTCCCACACACTCTCTCCACTCTCCCACACTATCTCTCCACACTCCCAAACTTTCTCTCCACTCTTATATACTATCTCTCCACTCTCCCACCCTATCTCTCAACTCTCCCACACTATCTCTCCACTATCTCTCCACTCTGTCACACCATCTCTCCACTCTCCCACACTATCTCTCCACTCTCCCACACTATCTCTCCACTCTCCCCCACTATCTCTCCACTATGTCTCCACTCTGTCACACTATCTTACCACTCCCCCACACTATCTCACCACTCTCCCACACCATCTCACCACACTCCCACACTATCTCTCCACTAACTCTCGATTCTGTGTAACAAACTCTCCACTCCCCCACACTATCACTCCACTCTCCCACACTATCTGTTCACATTCCCACACTATCTCTCCACACTCGCACACTATCTCTCCTCTCTCCCACACAATCTCTCCACTATCTCTCCACTCTGTCACACTATCTCTCCACTATCTCTCCACTACCCCACACTATCTCACCACTCTCCCACACTATCTCTCCACTCTACCACACTATCTCTCCACTCTCACACACTGTTTCTCCACTCTCCCACACTATCTCTCCACTCTCCCACACTATCTCTCCCACACTATCTCTCCATTCTCCCACACTATCTCTCCACAATCCCACACTATCTCTCCACTCTCCCACACTATCTCTCCACTCTCCCACACTATCTCACCACTCTCCCACACTATCTCTCCACTCTACCACACTATCTCTCCACTATCTCTCCATTCTGTCACACTATCTCTCCACTCTCCCACACTATCTCTCCACTCTCCCACACTATGTCTCCACTCTCCCCTGCTATCTCTCCACTCTCCCACACAATCTCTTCACTATCTCTCCACTCACGCACACTATCTCTCCACTATCTCTCCACTCTCCCACACTATCTTTTCACTATCTCTCCACTCACTCACACTATCTCTCCACTATCTCTCCACTCTTCACACACTATCACTATCTCTTCACTGTCCCACACTATCTCCCTACTCTCTTGCACTATCTCTCCACTCTCCCACACTATCTCTACACACTCCCACACTATCTCTCCACTCTCCCACACTATCTCTCCACTCTCCCACCCTATCTCTCCACTCTCCCACACTATCTCGCCACTATCTCTCTAGTCTGTCACACAATCTCTCCACTCCCCCACACTATCACTCCACTCTCCCACACTATCTCTCCACACTCCCACACTATCTCTCCACCATCTCTCCACTCTGTCACACCATCTCTCCACTCTCCCACACTTTCTCCACTCTCCCACACTATCTCTCCTCTCTCCTACACTATCTCCACTATTTCTCCACTCACTCACACTATCTCTCCATCCTCTCCACTATCTCTCCACTCTCCCACACTATCTCCCTTCTCTCTTGCACTATCTCTCCACTCTCCCACACTATATCTCCACACTCCCACACTATCCTTCCTCTCTCCCACACTATCTCTCCACTATCTCTCCAGTCTCTCACACAATCTTTCAACTCCCCCACACTATCACTCCACTCTTCCACACTATCTCTTCACTCTCCCACACTATCTCTTCACACTCCCACACTATCTCTCCACTCTGCCACACTATCTCTCCACTATCTCTCCATGCTCCCACACTATCTCTCCCCTCTCCCACACTATCTCTCCACACTCCCACACTATCTCTCCACTCTCCCACCCTATCTCTCCACTATCTCTCCACTCTGTCACACCATCTCTCTACTCCCCCACACTATCTCACCACTCTCCCACACTATATCTCCACTATCTCCCCACTGTGCTACACTATCTCTCCGCTATCTCTCCACTATCTCTCCACTCTCCCACACCATGTCTCCACTCTCCCACACTATCTCTCCACACTCCGACACCTTCTCTCCACTCTCCCACACCATCTCTCCACTCTCTCTCCACTCTGCCACACTATCTCTCCACTCTCCCATACTATCTCTCCACACTCCCACACCTTCTCTCCACTCTCCCACACTATCTCTCCACTATCTCTCCACTCTGTCACACCATCTTTCCACTATCTCTCCACTACCCCACACTATCTCTCCACTCTCCCACACTATCTCTACACACTCCCACACTATCTCTCCACTCTCCCACACGATCTCTCCATTATCTCTCCAGCTTGTCACACAATCTTTCAACTTCCCCACACTATCACTTCACTCTCCCACACTATCTCTTCACTCACCCACACTATCTCTCCACTCTCCCACACTATCTCTCCACTCTCCTACGCTTTTTCTCCACTATCTCTCCTTTCTGCCACACTATCTCTCCACTATCTCTCCACTGTCCCACACTATCTCCCTACTCTCTTGCACTATCTCTCCACTCTCCCACACTATCTCTCCACACTCCCACACTATCTCTCCACACTCCCACACTATCTCTCCTCTCTCCCACACTATCTCTCCACTCTCCCACGCTATCTCTCCACTATCTCTCCACTCTGCCACACTATCTCTCTACAATCTCTCCACTCTCCCACACTATCTCTCCACTCTCCCACACTATCTCTCCACTCTGTCACACTATCTCTCCACTCTCCCACACTATTTCTCGACTCGCCCACACTATCTCTCCACTCTGGTACACTATCTCTCCGCTATCTCTCCACGATCTCTCCACTCTCCCACACTATCTCTCTACTCTCCCACACTATCTCTCCACACTCCCACACGTTCTCTCCACTCTCCCACACTATCTCTCCCCTATCTCTCCATTCTGTCACACTATCTCTCCACTCTCCCACACTATCTCTCCACTCTCCCACACTATCCCTCCACTCTCCCACACTTTCTCTCCACTATCTCTCCAGCCTGTCACACAAACTCTCCACTCCCCCACACTATCACTTCACTCTCCCACACTATCTTTTCACTCTCCCACACTATCTCTACACTCTGCCACACTATCTCTCCACTCTCCCACACTATCTCTCCACACTCCCACACTATGTCTCTACTGTCCCACCCTATCTCTCCACAATCTCTCCACTCTCTCACACTATCTCTCCACTATCTCTCCACTCTCCCACACGATCTCTCCACTCTCCCACAATATCTCTCCACACTCCCACACTTTCTCTCCACTCTCCCACACTATCTCTCCACTATCTCTCCACTCTGTCACACTATCTCTCCACTCCCACACACTATCTCTCCACTCTCCCACACTATCTCTCCCTTCTCCCACACAATCTCTCCACTCTCCCAGACAATCTCTCCACTATCTCTACACTCTGTCACACTTTCTCTCCACTCCCCCACACTATCTCACTACTCTCCAACACTATCTCTCCACTCTGCCACACTATCTTTCCACTATCTCTCCATTCTGTCACACTATCTCTCCACTCTCCCACACTATCTCTCCACTCTCCCACACTATCTCTCCACTATCTCTCCAGCCTGTCACACAATCTGTCCACTCCCCCACACTATCACTTCACTCTCCCACACTATCTCTTCACTCTCCCACACTATCTCTCCACTCTCCCACACTATCTCTCCACTCTCCCACGCCATCTCTCCACTAACTCTCCACTCTGCCACACTATCTCTCCACTATCTCTTTACTGTCCCACACGATCTCCCTACTCTCTTGCACTATCTCTCCACTCTCCCACACAATCTCTCCACACTCCCACACT